TAACGAAATTGAAACCCGAATAGTACTCGAACGAATATTCGGATATTCGGGTACAGCCCTAGTGCGCATGCAAAGTGCGACCGCCAATATGTTTCTATGTGTCTGCCAGCACAAGAAAGGCTCTTGAGGCCTAGTACATACAGTGGCAATGTCTGAAGATTTAGCAAAATACACCTTTATTGAACATACAGTAACACAAATCCACATAACAAACAATCAAAAAGGGTCGGGGGGGGGCGCCACTTATTATTATTTAACAAAAAAATGTATTACTTTTTTGTTACCTGACTAGCAGCGGCGCACATATTTCAGTAGCGGAGCTGCGCCGCCGCAATTTGTATATAGGGGAAACACTGCTCAGATGCATCGCGATGCGGACGTGGACGATTGTGCATCGATGCAGTGACAGAACATAATCGACTATAGCGTAGTAACGTTGCTTGTTGATCCGCATTTATAATAAAGTCATTATAATTATTTTTTTACTTTTATTGAACAATTATGTCAATACATTATAACAAGGCACATCAACGTCAAGGTTCATTCCTCAATTCAAAAACTGAGGGATGTACAATAAAGTTCTATTGTTCAAAATAACTTCCTGGTAGCAACGTCGCACTGAATCAGTCCGTGTCGCTACGGCTCCGACACACGCATTGATTTATGTAGATTATTTTTTATTTCAAATTATAAATATTTAAAAAGTACAAAACAAAACATTGTTGATCTTTGATTGATGAGGTATGAGCCTAACTTAATCTCATAAATTAATGGGATTTATGTAACAGTAAAACAGATACATTTAAATGTGCACCCACATACAGTATTTCTGTTTCTACTGGCGGTTGTAAATACTCCTGTTGTCTGCTGTGTTCAGACTCAAGTCATGTTTGTGATGTTTGCCACATTCAGTGTCCTTTTTTTGGGCCGAAGACAGTTGCTAAAACCTTCAGCTATTAGTTATGTTTTCGAGGATGGAACAATTTCACACACAAATATAGGGAGGCTAGACCTATACAATTTTATTTATTTTGGTTTACAATTTAATATCAAGACATTTATGTTATTGATTTCTGATAAATAATAAAAAAGGGAGTTCATAATTATTTGACTGCTTATATATATATCTATGAAAAAGTTGCCATGTGAATATAGAAAATTGAATCGTTTACATAATAATCTTAATCGAATCCTGAGACCAGTTAAGATGCACAGCCCTAGTGAAAAGAAGTAGGACTGCAAATGACTCGAAAAATCATCACAGTTTAACACAGCCAAGGTTGATAAAAAAAAAAAAGTCCAACTAAAAGTGTCCAGTTTACTATCACAGAAGACAAAAAAAATACTAGCAAATGAATTTGAACCATTCATTATTAATTGGTGTGTTGCTCAAAAAACAAATTTAGCATTTTTTTTTATAATTCAACAAATTCTTTAACTGAAGAATTGCTTCAGCTCTAGGTTGTTTCCAAATATAACCACTGTTTTTGTGATTTGACTGTCCTCAGTAGGTGTTGTCGGATCAGAAGCAACCCTGCAAGTTTTGTGTTGCTTCAGGCCTTGGATTAACTCGACCTCAGTGTGGATGTGGTTTTGAGCTGCTGGTCTCTTGTCACCTGTCCTCTTGTCTCATCCCGTCCTCTCTCCCTCCTGCCTCTCTGCAGAGAAGACATTAATAGCCAGGAGGAGGAGTAGGAAAAAAGACGCTAGTGGAGGTTAACCGGCTGCAAGGACAGTAACACTCAGAGGGTAGAAAAACATCGACAGTAAAGGGAATTTTTCAACCTGCCTCCTTCAGGTTTAATGTAATTCTCTGTTGGCAGTGTTTTCCTTTTCTTCCCCGCCATATACTGGTGATTTGACAGATACTCAGGCCATGGACTTGGTCGACCCCATAGCATAACTTAGATTGTTAGCACACATATTTCATTATTAATGAATAAGCTTTAGTACATTCCCCAGATTAGGCCATAATACTGAGGTGCACTGCATGTAACACATTTTTGCATATTAAGTAATGTGCTGACTGAGCCTCTTTCATGATGCAAGAAAATACAATGTTTGCTAGGGCTGCACGATTTGAAAATGAATAAATAATTCACTAATATTAAAATGTTGATACGATTCGCGATATTGGAGGGAATAACCATTTTTGAAACATTATTCACATAATCATTTAGAAATAAAAAAAATATCATGCTAAGATTTTGTTTAAGGATCTGTACCAAGCAAAGTTACACAATACTTCTTTCAAATATTTGTACATATTTTGCCTCTACCATATATTGGGCTAACTGCGATTTGGCTATTGCTTTTTCATATTTCCATATTGCGATTTCAATAAAATTCCAATTAATTGTGCAGCCCTATTGTGAACAAACTGTATCGATAAAACCATTTTGAGAAAAATACCAATACTATAATATTACTGTATACTTTTTTACCATCCACTTAATTATTATTTATTATTCAAGGGGTTTACTGATAATAATTATTTAAGGTCGTTTAAGCAGTCAAGATATTTTTCTTACTTTTGGAATTAAAGATAAATACCCATACATGTCCCTTCAATCTGAACTGTGGTAAGTACGTTTTAAGTACTTGCTCAATGTCTACCTTTTATGGTATTTTTCCTAAAGTTAAATTGAATTTACAATGTATGCATTATCGAGCCCACAGAATGTTTGAAAAAAGACAAAAAAGCCCCTCAGCCAATGTTGAAGTCATCAAATTGTTATTTTGTTCGACCAAGAGCCAATATAGGACTTAAACAATTAAAGCAGTTGTCATACTTATCAATTCTTTCTGCACTAATCACAAGCTTGTTAGATTAGTGAGCTTATCATTTTGCGACTGAGGAAAGAAAATGTATAGGTTTTATAGCTTCAATGCGCTTTTATATCTAGACTTTTTTTACACAGGCGCACAATAGCTTGATTGTAGTCAAAATCTTCAATTACTCATCTTCTCTCCTAAGCTCCAACAGCAACTCAAGTGACCCCAAACTGCTCCCACTTTCAGCGCTTTCCCTGCTAATTGCAACATCTGTCCAGGATCAGAGACCTTATTTCAAAAGGAACAGCTCTCTGATTTAACCCTGATGATCCCTCTGACCGTATTTAGCATTGCTTTAGTGGAAGTTACCATGAAAGGGGAAAAATGTCCAGGAGCATCAGCGAGACCTCTCAAGTGCGTGAGGGAACTTAATCTCCCACCTCAGAAGGATTTCACTTGGTTTTTTAAAATAGCCTCTTTTGGGCAGAAGAGGCTTTGTTACGTGATGGACTACTACTGGTGTTAACTCACGAACAAAAGCACCTGGCTTGATTTCTAGGATGTCACTACTACCAATCTAGGGATGTCACGAGAACCAATACTTGCTACCGAGTCGTTGCCAGAATTCTGAAAACAGTACTTGTTTTTCATAACTTTCCAAAACCAAAGTGCTTATCAGTGTTTCCCCTAGGATGGAGTCATAGCAGCGGTGCTAAGGCACGTGGGCCCAGCATAATGTGAGCGCGGAGCGCGTGACATTTTTTAGTGTGTGCGCGTGCGAAGTGCGCCCCGCCAATTTGTTTCTATGTGTCTGCCAGCACAAGAAAGGCTCTTGAAGCCTAGTACCACCAGGGTCGGTTCTAGACAATTTGCTGCCCTAGGCGAGATTTTATATATAAAGAATAAATGAAAAATCTCTACAAAAGACAAATACTCTACAAAAACAGAAACTTATTGACATAGGTAATAGACGTCAACATGGCTTCAAATGTATTCAGTATTGTATGAACATGTTTGAATTGGGGGGTGGACGTCACATCCTCTACGGGGGTCCGGGGGTATGCCCCCCCGGGAAGATTTTTTTGAACATTTTAAAGTAAAATGCTTCAATCTGGTGCACTCTAAACACCCATCTGAAAAAGATCGGTTTACATTTTAATAATCAATAAGTATGTGAACATAACCAATAACCAATAAATGTAACTTATTTTATTTTTGTTGTTCATTTATATCTTATTTTACCAGTTAACATTTATTTATTTATGCATATTTTTGTATCTCTCCAACTTTAAACGATATTTTTGGTTTACTGTCCTATAGACTGGAATGATTTCAAACCTGTTTTTATTTATCCTAATAATTATAAAGGAGTGCCTTGGAAATATGTGTTTACATCATTTGTAAACACATATTTGTTTGAGACCCACTGAGATAACTTGGACTAAAATTAACTATCTAAACACTCAGAAAGTCCTTTAGCTCACTGAGGCTCTCAGTCTGACAGGAGAGCTCTCCTAACCCTAACCACCCTGGTTGTAGAAAAAGATCTACTTCTTATATCCGTTAGCGCAGCTAGCACCAGATACCAAAAATACACCTTTATTGAACATAGTTACACAAATACTACAAATCCACATAACAAACAATCAAAAATGAAAAAGGGTCGCCACTTATTATTATTTTAATATTAATAAAAATAAAAAAAGTTTAAAAAAAATAGCTGCGCCGCCACTATTTGTATATAGGGGAAACACTGCTTATATATGAATCTAAAAGATATGGCATATGTTTGACTTCTTAGTAGCAGTAAGAAAACTACTCAATGTCTGTTTCCTGATTGATGAATTTCATTGTTATAGCTGATAGCTGACATTGTTTTTTAATACCAAGCTTATATAAGACTTGTATCTGGTAAAATGTGCAAAAGGAAATGTGTAATTTCCACGGTTTCATCTGTTTGAGCACACATGGTTTCTTGGAAGAAAGAGGAAATAGTGTTTTTCTCTTGCTAAACAGCATTTGAGCCCTGCCAATGAAGAATCATTTGACTAGCTCAACATTTACTTGTCATTTGCATCTCCAAAGTGCTCAGTGTACATCACTCTTTTCTTGATAGGACAATACTGTATCCTTCACCTGTTCTGTGATCACTTTGTGTACACTGCTCAACTTTGTTATCTCTGTTTTCTAACCTTAGTGTTTTGAATATCTGTGTGTCCCGTCAGGAAGCAGATCTGGACGACAGGCTGGGCACAGACGGAGAATTTGACGGTGACTCCAAAGCAGACACTCCAGATGTCCCTCTCTCCACAGCGGACACAGATAACACTCCACAATACCTGAACAAAGCTCTGGAGGGCCTGCCGCCCAGGTACACACTGCTCATACACTGTTAATCACAAGAGACGGGGGGTCAGCAGTTGTTTTTTCCTCATATGCATCATGGATGGGGACCTATAGGTGCTTTCACACCGCAGTACTTTTCCCACAAAGGTTCATCAGAACTTAGTTCATGAGAACTCTTTAGTTCTGATGAACTAAAGAGCAGATCGCGTTCACACCGGAATAAGTCCCTGAGGGAGGATTAGGCAAATGAAGCCGCTGACGTCACTTCTTCTTCTTCTTCTGCTTTGATTTTACTGGCAGGACGCAAACAACTTCACGGCGTATACTGCCACCCGAAGTCCCCGGCCGGAAGTCCCCGGAGTTGGGGACTGGCTTCAGTAGAAGCTGCTGGGACTCCCAGCAGCTTCTACTGAAGCCTTCCGAGTAAATCGCCAGAACGCCGACACCTCCTCATCACTCCACCACTCCCATGTTTTATTTGGTGTTGCCATAAGTCAGTCTCTATGCGTTTGTGCGCTGGGCTAATGCTAATAATGCTAATGCGAGGATAATAAAAAAAACTTTTTTGGAGTTTTACGGGGCGTGGTTTGCAATCCGCCCAGCCAATCAGAAATAGGAACCTTTTTCTCCCTCGAAAGTCCCTGCTCTCTAGCAGGGACAGAAAAGGGGGTAAAAAGGTTCTCATGAACTAATTTTAGTTCCGGATTTTTTTGGTGTGAACGCAACATTTCGGAACTATATCGGAACTGAAGTGGGAAAAGTACTGCGGTGTGAACGCGCCTTATGATTAACAGTTAGCCTTACTAGTCAATGTTTATGTTTTCTGAGAGACACATTTAGCTTAATGGGCTTTTCCCGATTATAACGAGCCAGTTAAACACATCAACGGTAACTCATCATGGGAGCCCAAAATAAATCAGGGTTAATGTTTATATTAAGGATAATTCTTTATTAGAATAGCAAATCAAGTCATTCGACTTACTTACTTACTAAATCAAGAACAGGACATTTAAAATCAAATCTTATTTATCTCAGATTTCTTAGATTACAAGTAGGCCAACAAAAAGTAGGTCAACAAAAATGCAAAACCAGTTCTAAAATGTTTCCTATGTCTTACTGATTGGATATACCTCAAACCAATTAAGACTGAGGTCAGTTTAAGATGCACAACAGCTATATTATTGCTGTCACACACAGTTTTCCCTCCACCTTTCATGAAATGACCCTGAGTGATTGATCATCTCTCACCTGTGCATGTAGGTTAATTGGAGTAGATTCCTTCAGAGATGTATGAACATGCTCGTAGTAATAATGCAGTTGCAAGGACATTTTACAACCTGTTCTGTCAAGTGTTGTGGTTGGTACTAAATCAGTTCAATAGAATGTATTCTGCTAGGATTTATGTCATGAAAACATGTACCTATTTGTCCTTAACGTTTTACTGTGTCCGGAAAAAAATATATATTTTGGTTGCATTGAAGGCTTTTAGAAGTTTTTATTTAAAGGGGCCCTATTTTGTTTATGCGGTGCTGCGCATGTTTTGTCAAGTTTTAAGAATGTTTTCTAAATGCTTCGCATGTGTTTTCAAGTTGCTGAAGATGTTTCTTCATTGGCATATGTTTTGGCACATTTGTGTTTTTATATTTGCATCGTTATTTTCCGAATGGAAGTGTTTATGGCCGTTGTAGCGCATTTGCACCTGTCGGCCACCGTCAAGAACCGTATTTAAAAAACAATACATTCTAGGGAATGCTTTGTATACTGGAGATTGAAATGAACGATTATTAAAATAACTTATTTCACAGTATACATTCTTGTAGTGTGAAAACATGTCTTGCAAGTTCAGGACTGTCACACTTGGCAGCACCTTGCACACAATGACCGAGGTCCTGTTTGATATACAGATAATAGGTGGAGAGTGTGACCAACGAGCGACGGCCAGGTCACAGAGCTTAAAGGCTCATTAGGAGGAGGGGAAGCACTAATCCTGAGTGCCATAGGAGCCTCTGTGCTGCAGAGACATGGGGGGGGAGCAGACTGCAGAGAGGGAGGGGGGGGAGAAATGGGATGAAGAGAGAGAGAGAGAAAGAGAAAGAGGATGGGGAAGATGGAGTAAAGATAAGGAGGAGGGATGAATGGAGCGGGTGAAATGACACAGCAAAGAAGGATGACTAGATGGACATGAAGGTGAAGAGCGGAGGCAGGGAGGGAGCGTTCAGAGAGAGTGATGATGAGACAGTGTGAGCCCACAGCGCTGGGTGGAAGCAGCAGCAGCCCTTTTTTTTTTTTTTTCATGATGCAGCTGTTTTTCTTCTCCATTCATACAGAGGCACCAGGCTCTCTGCCCTGCTGTGCAGCGTGTAGCCGTTTCCTCTTTTGTTTTCTGCTCTCAGGCAGTGCAGCAGTTTGCCTCACAGCAACACGCACTGCATGACGTGTTTTGAAAATAACTCCAGAGGAATGAGGCCGCATTCCACATTTTTGCCAATGCTTATGTGACGGCACAGGTAGTTGGCCTACTACGGCAAGTGTGGGGGGCTGTGGCTCAGTGGGTAGTGTGCTGGACTTCGAATCAGGGGATAGCAAGTTCGAGTCCCACTGCAGTCAGCATGTCGTTGTGTCCCTGGGAAAGACACATTGCTCCTGTGGGGATTGTCCACAGTATTAAGTATGTAAGTCGCTTTGGATAAAAGCGTCTAACAAGTAACATGTAATGTAATGATGTGCTGTTTAGATCCAGAAGGTTAACCATTAAATATTATGGTTCGTAACATATCATACCAGAAGCGCTAAAAAGAAAGGATTCAGAGCGTATCCAAGCCCCATTGACCCTGACTATTCCGCACTCGTGTTGCTTACTTTACTGCCTGGTTCTGCTCGGGTCCTCTTCATGTGTCGCCAAAATAGGGTGGTACAGGAATAAGTGATAAAACTCAGAAACTAGTCGGAATGACTGTGACGGAATGTGTTTTTTGTTAGATGTCTGAAATAAGGTCTGTGTTTACAAAAGCTTGAGAGTTTTTCACGTTTTTTTTCTAAGACATAAAATAAGCAGTAGATGCCACTCTCTCAAATGTACGAAGATTCTGTGTGTCATAAAAACAGCGGTTGCTAACAAGCAAATATATGAGACAACTAAACGTCCTCACACCAAACAAATCAGCCTTTAGCTTAGGGGAATACGTGAGGTCATGTGACCGTGATGTAGTTCATTTATTGCCTATAACCAGGGGTGCACATAACTTTCTTAGTGAGTTACTCAAATGAGTACCAGGAGACAATGTTTGGTACGCAAGGTTATGTGTTCAGCCCCTCTGTTTCGCGAACGTCGGCTGGGGGGGGTGTGGCTGGGGGTGTGGTATTGAACGTCGACGGGAGGGGTGACGGGAGGGGTGGGCGCTAGTGGAGCACTCGCGTGGAACTCGCGCCAGAAGTTGTGGCACAATTCCGTTGTACACACCGACGTTAACAGCAGCCCCGTCTGTGCGCACGGCGACTGACTCTATCGTCCAGTGATCGAAGCGCCTTCTGGAAATGCTTCTCAAATCCGCCGGTACGCAAATGCGCTTAGTGAGACAAGTGACGGTACGCATTTCAGATGTTTGCCGCGCATGCGTACCTGCGTACCAGTTATGTGCACCCCTGCCTATAACGTTAGCTTTTTACTTCTGGTGAATGCATTTTTGTATTATATATATTTTTTTAAATGCACAGACCTAACCCTTTTTCACAGCTTGGCTAGTTATCATTTGTTATCATTTGTCGCATGCATAAAATCTGTGAGATGGATTGGCACTTCATTTGGTACAGATATCCATGGTGACTCTTTCTATTTATAGTTCTGTTGGAAATTTCTCGAGAATGGAAGGATTCTCATGTAATTTGGTACACACATTCATGCCCATCTCAAGATGAATTGTAACAACCTTAAAGGGGCCCTATTATGCTCATTTTCAGGTTCATATTTGTTTATTTTGTCTACTGTCACATGTCTCCATGCTTTAATGTTCAAAAAGCTCTTTATTTTTCTCATACTGTGTGTGCTGCAGCACCTCTTTTCACCCTCTGTCTGAAACCAGAGCCCAGTCTGCTCTGATTGGTTAGCTGGCCGGCTCTGTTGGGATTGGTCAACTGCTTAGAGATGTCCAACCCTTAGCCAATCATGTTTAATGCGTTGGAGCGCTAGCCAATATGAGTGAAAGTGTTACATAGTGATGTCACTATGTTACAGACCCCAAAAAGAATAATAAAGCCTCTTTAAGGATTCCTTATTATAGTCAATATAATGTATATCATTAGCCGCTTTCACACTTTGCTGTACTTAGTGCCGGCACATAGTGCCTGGCACTTAGTGCCCCCATGGAACTAAGTACAGATCGCGTTCACACCGGAATAAGTTCCCTGAGGGAAGATTACGCAAATGAGCCACTGACGTCACTTCTTCTTCTCCTGCTTTGGGTTTACTGGCAGGCCGCAAACAACTTCACGGCGTATAATGCCACCCGGAGTCCCCGGCCGGAAGTCCCCGGAGTTGGGGACTGGCTTCAGTAGAAGCTGCTGGGACTCCCAGCAGCTTCTACTGAAGCCTTCCGAGTAAATCGCCAGAACGCCGACACCTCATCACTCCACCGCTCCCATGTTTTTTTTTGTGTTGCCATAAGTTATTCTCTCTCCGTTGGTGTGTGGGGCTAATGCTAATAATGCTAATGCCAGCAAATACATTGGCGGCTTCAAAAAACGTTTCAGAGTTTTACGGGGCGTGGTTTGCAATTCGCCCAGCCAATAGAAATTGGTACTTTTTTCTCCCCAGGATAGTACCACCTCTCTAGCAGGCACTAAACATGGGGGTAAAAGTTCCCGGCACCAAGTACTCTTTTTGGTGTGAACGCAAAATAAGGGGTACTAAACGGGAAAAGTACGGGGAAAGTACTCCGGTGTGAACGCGCCTATTCAGGTCCAACATATATGTTGATTGCATTTCCCTCCTCATAAAACTTTTGGGAAGCATTTAGCTCAATGTACCGCTTCAGAGAGACTCTCAAGGCTTCTTAAGAAACCAAACTAGCTAATCACTCAAGGCTAAATATTAGTCATCTTACACAGTTATACAACCTGCAAATATACGTATATTGTTTTCTTTCACGATGGCCTTTGACAAATGTAGTCAGCTGATATAAAACGACCGGTCATCTGTGCTTATTAAAAGGCTCTGCTAATCATGATCTACTCTTATAACTTCATGCTTGTTTTATGACTGGTAATAAAGACATGTAGCCAGAAAATGAATCATATATCTGTCTCATATATTTGAGTATCTCACTTACCGAAACACAAATGAAGCATTAATGAATTTTGAGGATGAAGTCATTCTAAAACCTGTTTCTCTTCTCCATAGATGGAAGAACTACTGGATACGAGGAGTGCTGTCTATAGCCATGATTTCTGGCTTTTTCCTCATCATCTATATGGGACCCATCGCTCTTATATTAATTGTAAGTGACGGTGATACTGTAGCTATTCTAGGATTCCTACGGTCAGATGTCTTGGTTTATTTCTCAGAAGGCTTCTCACAGTTCCTCTCTGTTCCCATCATCTGACATAGGTCATGACTGTCCAAATCAAGTGTTTCCAGGAAATCATCACCATCGGCTACAGAGTTTACCATTCCTATGAGCTGCCTTGGTTCAGGACACTAAGCTGGTGAGGATAATTGATTTCACTGTGAACAGCAGATATACTGTAGATGTATTATGAATAGACAATGGTTTACCCTTGCAGTATTTCCACAGGAACTATGCTCTAAAAGTTTGCTAAACCTTAAACTAAGGTATCACAATGTGTGATTTTTGTGTAGAAACTCGATTACCGAATCGTCAACAGTTTCAAAAAGACAAAGAAACAATATTAAGCCCTACATGCATTACATTGATGCAGTTATTGCGAGCAAATCTTGTTCATTTTAAAAGTGTGAATCTTACGAACCCCTCTCAAAAGTTTACACAAAGGGTTACCTCTTTTTTTTTATCTGCACAGATCTCCATTGTAAATGATAGAATGTGTCATTATTTTACTGTACTTTGCTTTTGGTGTATTTATATTTTGTGTAGATATTGTCTATACAATACCATTTTTTTGCTCCTTTCTACAATGAATTCCTCTTTCTGTGTCTATCAGGAACCATTTTTCACCCTAAGAAAGGCCTTGTATGTTTAAACCTACTTGGCAATAAAACAGATTCTTATTCTGAATCAGTGGGCTAAATGTTGGCTCAGTTCTCATCCCTAGCCATTGTTGTAATGTGCAAGGACAATTAAAAAGCCAGAAGCACTCAGATTTTTTTTTTTTTTTTTTTAAAGGTAGCACTTGGTAATTTCTTCTGGCACAGATTTAACTCTTGGGTTCCTCAAGTAACACGCTGAGTCAGGCCAGCTTCCTCTGCAGGTCGTTGCTGTGAATATTCAACATCGACACACCACTGCACTGTGGAGGGGTTTGCTCCTTTTTCTGTCCCAGTGTTTTCCTGAACAAATCACCTTTGCATACACACCCAGAGTGTGTGTGTGTGTGTGTGTCGGCATCGCTCAGTGCACATGGGAGCAAAGATCACTGCCATGTTGGAATCGCCAATGTCATAACACAGACACTCACACAAAGGAGGTCAATGTACAGAAACTCTGCTAGACATTCAGTGACACACACACCATTTCCCATTTGAAGTGGAAAAAAACAAACTCTTTTGTCCATACTGAGGAATACATTGCTATAAGAAATACTAATTCCCTCTCTTTTATATCGTCAGGTACTTCCTGATTTGCGTCAACTACTTCTTCTATGGTGAAACCCTGGCAGATTACTTTGGGGCTCTGGTGCAGAGGGAGGAGCCTCTGCAGTTCCTGTCTCGCTATCACCGCTTCATCTCCTTCGCTCTGTACCTCGCAGGTGGGTCTTGCCTTCAAGAAAACGCTGTATCTCAAAAACACACGCTCTTTGGCCCTGCTGCTTCTAATCTTTCCAGGTGGATTAGATTTCACCAGACACGGCACGTGTGTATAGAAACGTTGTTGTAAAAGTTACTCGGGAGAAAATAGAGCAAAAAGAGACGCAAAGACCTCAGGGAGACATGCAGTATAAACTACGAGTTCACTAAATGATTAACTGTCTTTCTTTACTGATAACATGGTTTATTGCTTCGGTAAACTGCAGCCGGATGTGCCATAAAAACACAATTAAGAAGATACAAGGTGGGAAAAAAAACACACAATTGAACACACACTTAAAGTTCCTGAAAATATATCAAATCAATTTTTTTAATACTTTCTGTTTTACGACACATTTTGTATAACAGGAAGAGCTTTTTTTGCGGCTATTAAAGTAACGTGATTCTGCTTTTCTTAATTTAACATAGTATAAACCAGATGATATCCAATACTCATTCCCACTTTTCAAAAGTGTTCCTATTTATTCCTCATGCTTAACATAGTGACTTTACAACACTGGTGCTTCTATTGGCTAGTGCTCAACAAATTGTATGTGATAGGCTAAGGGGTTAGACATCTAAAAAGCAGTTAACCAATTATACCAGAGCCGGCCAGCTAACCAATATAATATATAGGTATAATATAAGAAAATAATGTTTTTAAGTATGTGTTAAAAAATAATCATTAAAAGTTCCTCATGAAAAGGATGAATAGAGGTTCTGTTTACTGATTGTTCACAGTGGTTGGGTCAGAGTCTGGGTGAACACACTTCCTCCTCAGTGCTGCTGACTTGCATTCCACCAGCCAGACGTCAGCTGCGGTTTCAGCCCCAGGGACATTCTGAGAAACTCTGCAAAGCATCTTCTACATTTGTTTTCAGTAACAGCCCCCCTTAACAGCATCGTTATTATTTATTTTATTCCCAGGTTTTAAACAAACCTGACACTGGAGCTTACCGCCATTACAATTACAAATGTGTATTACGTTGGTGTTCAAGGGGCCCTATTATTTTCATTTTTTAGTTAATATTTACATTTAGTGCCTTTACTGTGACATGTCTCCATGCTTTACTGTTCAAAAAAGTTTTTATTATTCTCATACTGCCTGTGCTGCAGCACCTCTTTTCACCCTCTGTCTGAAACCAGAGCCCAGTCTGCTCTGATTGGTTAGGTGGCCGGCTCTGTTGGGATTGGTCAACCGGTTAGAGATGTCCCGCCTCTTAGCCTATGACGTACAATGTGTTGAGCGCTAGCCAATAGAAGCGTGAGTGTTATGTAGTGATGACATTATGACTCATAACTTTGGGACTTCAGCTTTTGCAGACCATTTCAATGCACACGAACCTATATCACACACTACAGGAAAGGGAGAACTCAAGAAAGCATCTCAATTGTCAAACTCTTATGTTTGTAAGAAAGAAAATGAATTGTTAAAACACAGGCATGCTTCACACACACACACACACACACACACACACACACACACACACACACACACACACACACCTCTCCATACTGTGTATAGTAGACAATCTGGTAAATGTGATGCATATAATAATCTACCGTATAATTTTTTACAACTTGGCGTAAAAACTGACAGCATGTTGTCTACTCTTTCACAGGTTTCTGCATGTTTGTGCTGAGTTTAGTGAAGAAACATTACCGCCTGCAGTTTTATATGGTGTGTATCAGTCAAGTAACCCAAGTTACTACACTTTAACTCTCCTATCAATCCCCTCTCACCACTACACCGCTGACTTTCCTATCATCCCCTTCCACTGCTTCTTACTTCTTCTTGTAATGACCCTCTGAGAAATGTAATTTCAACTCATCTTGTGCCTCAATGTTGCCTTTTTAGAAGTCTCTACTTTTCAGCCAGTGCTAGCATAGCATACTGGTGATACACAGTTAACTGCCTGTATTGCGATGTATAATTTGATCCAGGATGAATGTGGAACTTCTGCAATGGCTTATACTTTTTGTATATTATCTTTTATTTAATTTTAATTTTTAAATTATATTTTATTGCAATATTATTTTATTTATTTTAAACAATTTATTATAATAATTTTATTTATATGTATTTCATTATTTATTATCAATAATAATAAGTATGTGATTTGCCCCTTTTAGACTTTAAACTGAAAGGAAATAAATACTACATTTTTATAAACCCAAAAATTCAAATAGCTTCTGAGTCTGGTTATTATATCGTATTATAATATTTAATGGGGAAAAAAGGACCTTTCTTTGCTTAAATTATCAGTCCTGTGTCCCAAGATTCTTGTTTTGGATTTGTCCAACAAAAGCTTTTCCATCCTCTGCCCCCCCCCCCTCTCTCACACTCTCATATGTTTGCTTTTCCCCGTTTCATTCACCTCATCCGTCTGTCTGTTTCTCTGTATGTTTCCACTATTTCTGACACAAGCTGGCTTCTGAGCAGGCGTGGCCACATTCCAGTGCAGTGACACTATCTTGTTGTTGTTTGTGTTTGCCATTCCAGTTTGCTTGGACCCATGTGACCCTGTTGATTGTGGTAACTCAATCCCACCTTGTCATTCAGAACCTGTTTGAAGGAAAGATCTGGTAAGCATCACGCAGACAGACCAGAGGAGCGTGCCTCTGACTCTCGCTGCACATGTGTTCTGGTGCTCTACATACAGGTTTTTTAATGAGTAATGCAACAGAAAGTGACTCAATCAGGACAAACAAAGCATTTGATGTTTTATTGAACTGCTCCAACAGAAATATTTTGTAATATTTAAATTGAGTTATTTTCACAATTTTCCAGACAATTCAACAGATTTCCACTTATTGACTGTTTCACTTCCTGCAACACTCCCTAATGTTTAAATTCCTGTTTCCAGGTTCATTGTCCCGATCTCCATAGTGATCTGCAATGACATCATGGCCTATCTATTTGGATTCTTCTTTGGGAGGACTCCACTGATCAAGGTAAACCAGATAATGTCCTATGTTTTATTTTCAGGACTTGAACTACTTGAAGAGGCTTAAGGAAGTGTGTACAGATGTGTTACCGTATCAGATCAGCATCATATAAACAGGTCACATCTTCACATTGATTTGTTTTCACATTTATCACATTACACAAACACAACTTAACCTTCCCCCAAGGTCAAGGAGATTTATCTGTTTTGACAATCATTAAAATCATTTTATATGATTCCAAAAAAGCTATCGATCATGGTGGTGTTGTTGACTGAACATCTCATGTGGTGTACAAATTGAAACACTGGACCCAGAAGCCCTTTAAGATATTATTGTAATCAAAAGGTGGATGATGAATTGTAGATCTTCTCTGTGCTCGGTCTTTTAACCTCTTTACTGCTTTTGCGCTCTTTTTCTGCTCTTTACCGGGGACAGTTTTAGACATCAGGAATCCAAAGTTTCTACAGACGAGATTACATTCACTTTAAATGATGTGGTCCTGCAAAAGATGAGGGAGTTAAAGCATCTCACAGGGATGCAAACTTGTCACCTTTCGGCGAAATTCGGTGTTTTGAATCCAAAATAGGTCGTGTGTGTGTGATTCATGTAGATCTGCAATAAAAATATTTTTGGGGTATGGGGGGGGTCTGGGACCCGGAGTAATCTGCGGCCGCGAGCTGTTATGTGCCATCATGACACGCATGGTGTTCTTTTTTTATATATTATAATGAAGCGCGAGCTGTGTGCTGGAGTCTTCCTGCTTGTCGGCTCTGCTCATGGATGTATAATAAAAGGCTCTGCTGCTCCGCGATGATGGTCTAGCTTCAGCAGCTACATTATCTACGGGTGCGTTCGTTAATATTAACTGTGCGGTCCGGAGTCACTGTGGCACACTGGACCGCTGGTGAACAGCTGTTAGAACGGGCCGTTCAGGTGTTCAGAGCAGAGCTCCCTGTCGGAGCGGCAGAGCGTGATGTGCACTGAAAAGTGTTTCTGTCGCAATATTATCGTTGAGCTAGCTAACTAGCATACATTGTCACTATCTGCTAACGTTAGCTTTAGCCTTCGTTTTCTAATAGTTTTTTTCATAGGCTATAAACGGAGGTGGTATAAGTATAGATCTTGTACTTGAGTAAAAGTAGAAGCACTCAAATCTTGTACTTGAGTAAAAGTATAAGTACTCAGGTTTGAGTAAAAGTAGAAGTACCAGAGTGTAGGAACAATCCTGCAATCAAAATGTTCCTCAAATAAAAATACAAAAGTATTATCATCAAAATATAGTTAAAGTAGCGACAGTAAAAGTAGAAGTACTCAGGTCTTGTACTTGAGTAAAAGTAGAAGTACCAGAGTGTAGCGACAGTAAAAGTAGTCATTGTGCAGATTGGTCCATTTCAGAATAATATATATGATATGTTTTATAATGATTGATCATGAAAGTGTTCTCAAAGCTGGTAAAGGTGCAGCTAGTTTGAATGACTTTGTATACTGCAGGGTAGCTTGTGAATTTACTCCAGGTGGAACTAAAGTCTGATTTAACACTTGATTATATTTCACATCATTCATCCAGATCTGTAAAGTAACTAAAGGTATTAAATACATGTAGTGGAGTAGAAGTACACCATTTACCTCTGAACTGTAGAGGAGAAGAAGAACAAAGTAGCAAAACATTGAAATACATAAATAAAGTACAAGTATCTCAAAATTGTACCCAAGTATAGTACTTGAGTTTATGAACTTAGTTACTTTACACCACTGGCTATAAAGATAGAAAGACTAAGCCTTACACAGAGGCATGAAAATACATTTTCAAAATGCTCAACAGTGCTGCCAAAATTATAAACTGACTGCTACACAATTAAAATAAATGCTTTTATATATTTCTATTAGATGTGACTCTTTAGCGTTTCTGTTATTATTAACTGCTTTAGTTGTTCTGACTGCTAAAATCCTCTGTTATTCCTCATTTTAAAGCCGATATTCCGTGCAGTCGGGGGGCTCGGATCCTTGTCACCTTTTTCATACCTGATGAGTTTGCATCCCTGATCTCAGCATCTCGGGGTTAAAACCATCAGCCCCAAAATACACTGGCAATGTTTCAGTCCGACAACACTGCCAATAAATACCTCCAGGTTGTGACACAGACGTGTAACTCTTTGGAAATCAACCATTACAGCCACTTTTCTTCTCAAAGTGACTGAACACTACTGGGTTAAAAGCCACTTTTAAATGAGTGGATTTCCCATCTCTTGAACTCCACCATATGAAATACACGAGGAGTGAATTAAAGATACTTTTGAGGATGACTGTTGAGTAACCCAGAGCTGACGGCATGAAAAAAAGGAGTTGATTCAAAATCACATGTAGTTTTTGGTGAGGCTGATGTCATGGTGATGTGAAAGAGAGCCTCTGTTTCTCTCCTTCCTCCACCCACCCCTCCCCCTGCAGCTCTCACCCAAGAAGACCTGGGAGGGCTTCATCGGGGGTTACTTCGCCACAGTGGTCTTTGGCTTCATCGTGAGTACACTTGATCTGCTTTTACAATTATTTATTTTTTAGAACAGACTCAGATGTTATCGGCTGAAAATTCGAAATAAGTAATGGCCATTGCCAAGATGTACCAGTTATTGTCAATCTCAGCACCGAATGTTTTTTTTGTTTTCCAAATAAAATTAAGAGGGAAAATAATATTGTTTAGTGACCACTTTCACTACCAGCTAGAGATGTCTATACGCATTCAGCTGGTGGAAATGTCCACATTTTGTATGTGAAGGTTGCCCAAAAGCATGATTCTGACTTCAACAAATGTTTTGTTTTATTGTCGTTCTTCAATAATTCCACTGAGCTGGAAGTTGATCTTTCCCTTGTGTCTTGTGACCCCCAGCTGGCCTACCTGCTGTCTCAGTGCCAGTACTTTGTGTGTCCTGTGGGCTTCAACAGTGAGACCAACAGCTTTACAGTGGAGTGTGAGCCCTCTGAGATATTTCTGATGCAGGAGTACACGCTCCCTGCTGCGCTGCAAAACATACTGACATGGGTAAGACTTCGCCCCTTTTCCATTCCTTTTGAAGTGTTTTTCCTCAACTAAGACCATTTGAGAAATATAATTGTAATATATTATTGTACATATATACATACATTCAAATAGTGTATAGATAATGCGATAGAAAGACTCATAAGGTAAGCAAAATGTGGCTAAATCCCTCTTTCATAGATAGAGAACAACAATTATTTTATATTTGAGCTTATTTAAAATATAAATATATTAGAGTCAGACATTCTGGTACAATATTCTGGCACCAGACTATGTATCTTTTATTAGACATGTTACTTTAATTCTCATGTTTATGTATCTTATTTGATCTTTTATTGCACATTCTTTATTCCTATATTAAATGATACACAGTGGTGGAAAGTAACTGAGTATATTTAGTAGTACGAATTTGAAGTACTTGAGTTTATTCATTTAATGCTACTTTATACTTTTACTCCACTATATTTAAATGGGAAATTATGTCATTTTAATCCACTAACTTTATTAAACAGGTCTGGTGACCTTTCAGATTTTGCATTAAAAAAATGTAATAAACTTTGAACATAATGCATCTCTAAAGATATAACTAATGTAACTGTTGCAGGTACAAAACAAGTTCAATTATAGCATTTATTTCAAAAGTTCTTTCCATCAATATTGTGTGGATCAAAACTTTATTTGTCAACAACACTAAAATGCTACTTAATGCAACAATGAATAATGTCATATATATAATACGAAATGCCATATTTATTTCTTCAGTTAGTAATTTTACTTTTTATACTTTTAAGTACATGTTGCTGATAATACTTTTAAATGTAGGAATTTTGAATGCAAGACTTTGCTTGCAGCTGTGTATTTTTACAATTCACTATTGCTACTTTTAATTTAAAAAAAAAAGGTACATTCTATTGTGTTTATATTTTTATTTTATTCATTCTATAATGGAACCACTGTAACGAAAAACTATTTCCCTCCGGGATTAATACATTATTTATTTTTCTGATTCTGATAAATCCCGATATGCTTTGCCGTTATTTAGATTATTTTCACACAATATCAATATCCGGACAGAGAGAAGATCAGAGCGAGGACTTTTCCATCCAATCACAGGCGTGTCCTCTTCTCTCTGTTATAGAAAACGGTGAACCTGTACCCCTTCCAGATCCACAGCATCTTCCTCTCCTCCTTCGGGTCTCTCATCGGGCCTTTCGGCGGCTTCTTTGCCAGCGGCTTCAAGAGAGCCTTCAAAATCAAAGTAAAGAATTAGGATTGTTGTTTTGCATTTTTACTCTTGTCTTTATGTCTCATTTTATTGTTTAAGCGTCTTCCCTTGATTCTGTTTTGATGGGATGAGATTTACCAGCACAATTTCAAATGTATTGTCAGAAGTCATGAGTAAACGTCTGTGCAAACTGTGTCATACATTAGGCACACATAGGGGCTACTTTAAATGTAAAATAGTCTGCCAATCCTAAGGTCAGTGGTTCAATTCCCAGCCCCTGCTGTCCACATGTCGATCGATCTTTGGGCAAGATGCTGAACCCCCATTGCTTTCGATGACATGGCCAACTGTGTGTGAGGCTGTATGGCATCCTCTACCTCTGGATGAATGTGTATGAATGGGTGAATGTTGACTTGTATCTCTAAATGCACTTTTAATGGTGTTTAGGAATGGGGAAAAAGGGCTATATTAATTCAGTCCATTACCCAAAACTCATTCAAATGTTAGCATTATTTCTATGGTGGCCCGGAGGTGAGAACACGCTACAACGGTACCAATCTGCCAGAACACATGAAAATGATGAAACATGCACAGCATTTACTCAAAGTGCTGCATAAACGAAAGGTTGCAAACGCAAAACGCGGCAAATAAAAAAACACTGGAAAGACTCAAAACAGAAACTGCTTTCTAAATGTTGTGCATTTGTTGTCAATGTGGCGAAGATGTTTCTTAATTTGCATGTTTTGGCACATTTGTGTTTTTTCATTTGCATCGTTTTTGAAACTGCAGGGTGTTTTCTCAACAGAAGTGTTTTGGCCCGTCTGCTCCCGTCAGCCACAGTCATTTTCATTATTTTAACACTGCACCCAACTGTCTGGAGCTCCACTTTAAAGTGGACCTATCATGCTATATTTAAATGATATATTGTAGGGCCATACCTATATAAGGTATATTTATACGTTTCTGTTTTCAAAATACCAAACAGATCATGCATTTTAGCCATGCCTCATTTCACTCTATGTGCTGTTTGCTGTCTACGGGTCTGATTCTGCTGACCACGCCCCCCTGCAGGAGAGGGGAGACGTGCTCTGATCAGCTGCTGGGCTGTCAGAAGAGGGAGAGAAAAAGAGATCTCCGTCCTCCGTGTTTTATTATATAGAGTCGTTATTCATTTGTTTTATAGCTCAATAAATAACAAAGAAGACCTTTGACCGGCACTTTTCTAATTTTGTCCGGAAGATTTAAACTTTAACGGACATCTTGACAGGTGAACTGCAGCCTCCTGCTGGCTGTGGAGGTGAACTGCAGCCTCCTGCCCGCTGCCTCACCACTAAGCTCCAAGCTTTGCAAGTCATTGTTCACAGCCACAACTGAGCCAGGCAGTGTTTTTGTAGTCACATCTCCCACTAGTGACACCATACTGTATGCAGTGGTGGAAGGTACTTTGACTATTTTGACATATTTTCCACTTTCCTTGAGTATTTCCGTTTATGCTCTAAACTTCTACTCCATTGCATTTCGGAGTCAAATATGTTAGCTTTTACTTCACTAGACGTATGTTACTAGCTACTTATTACATGTCAAAATGCACTTATTGCTAATATGACAGGATGAAGTTGTGTACTACTAATGAACCCAGTATTTTATATCAAATCAGGTCCACTTTGACAAAGTACAAATGATTTCACATGTACTTGTGAGGGATAAAAAAAAGAGTAATACATATAAAACTGTGAAAAGAGCCATAATGAGTACTACTTGAATTCAGGACTTTTACTTGTGATGGAATACTTTTTGACTGCAGTATTTCTACTTTTACTTAAGTGAAGAGTCAGAGTGCATCTTCCACCGCTGACTGACTGTGTGTTTGACAGGGGATCTTTGTAAATCGCAGCATTGTAACACAAGAGTAGCACTAAAACAATACAAATGGGGAAGACGATGAAGAGACTAAATGATGCTCTTGATGCATGTACCGGAGTTCTGCTGTAGTGACACCCTGCTCTCTGCTCTCCTGCAGGACTTTGCCAACACCATCCCCGGACACGGCGGCATCATGGATCGATTCGACTGTCAGTACCTGATGGCCACCTTCACACATGTCTACATAGCCAGCTTCATCAGGTGAGGAGAGCAACAGAGGCGATGGTGAAATAAAACAAAACTGTTACCAGGTCCTTTACAGTCATTAAAAGTGGTATTTGTTTGTATTTCATTCGTTGTAAAGCTTCAGGTGGCTGTTTAAAAAAAGGTACCACGTTCTAAGTTAAATGAAAATATATATCTTTATAAAATAATAGTGTATATATACATTATTAAGGGTGTCAACGGATTACAAATGTTATCCCCTTAATCCCAATAATAATCTTTGATTAATCGCAAGTTTAAAATACTAGTATTAACTTGTATTTTGGGGGGAGACTAAACAAATACACATGCAAGCAATGCATGGCAAACTGTTAGGAGAAATCAGAGGGACGGTATTATAACAGCTTAGTTTTGATGATTTTCCGCTGTCATGGGGAGCCACTTATGATATATGGTAGTATTCTTGGTGCTGCTTTCAAATGACTAGCACCATCTGTTCCTACAGCGTTGACATGTCCGCCATCGGCCACTTCTGTTCAACTTTAAGAAACTGGTTAGCACCTGACTCAGCAAAACACCTTTCATCCGTTAATACCACACCTACAGCAAACGAGTGCAGAACATTTGTTATGGATCAGGTGTGTTGCTCCACCAAAGTAATGATGGCTCTTACTGATGTCCAGCAGTCTCCAGCCAGCAGAATACATGTAGCTTGGGCCAGTTCCTCTGCTTTCTGTGCCTTCTTACTGCCATGTGATTCATGGTAAACATCTGGGCTGCAATTAGGGGAGGAGGTTCGGGTCAAATTTTGGTAATGTGATTCATTGGCGTTTATTCAACTGGGGAAAGAAGCAGAACATGAAAGGTGAAAGTCCCCCGACAGTCTGAGCCTTTAACAGTAGAACTAGGGGCTGCTTCAAGGCAAGCCTGAGCCAGCCCTAACTATAAGCTTTATCACAAAGGAAGGTCTTAGCCCTGCCCTTAAATGTTAAGAATGTGTCTGCCTCCCGAACACAAACTGGTCCCACTGAAGAAGGGCTTGATAGCTGAAGGCTCTGGCATAAATGTTACTTTTGGAGACTCTAGGACCAACTTATAATGCATTCTGGTAAATGTAATGCCCTGGTCCCTTTCCACTTTCCACTGGGGTCACATGTCATTGTTGTCTTGCAGGGGGCCGAACCCGAGCAAGGTGCTGCAGCAGCTGCTGATGCTTCAGCCCGTACAGCAGCTCGGCGTCTTCCACACTCTGCACTCCCACCTGAGAGAGAGGGGCATGCTCCCCCCAGCCGCCGCCCCCCAGGCTGAATGAGAGGCCGCCTGCTTCGCTGGGTCACGACTGGAGAGTGTGTGATGGCTTTGGAAAGTTTGTGTAAGCTTGTACACATACACACACACTCACACACACACACACACACACACACACACACTCACACACACACACACACACACACACACTCTTAGGTATGGCGTCATCGTCATCCTGCCGACTCTGCATTCGACTTCCAACCAGCGCAAAAATCACAACTTTGAACCTTTGGTGACTCTCCAGACTACTTGGAAATACCTTGTAGCAAAAAAAGAAACACACAATACCAACAACAATAAAAAGAAATAGGCTGCTTCATTGCTTTTTTTTTACGTGGACCTGCGCATAAACTTCAACATGCTTCACGGAGAACAGACAGTCCCCATCCTGAAAAGGTACAGACGGAGCTGTTTTCTGGAACAAACGGACCCTTGAGCACATGGCTTTCTCGGCGCCAGCGGATGTGCGGTTTACCTGTGGACGGCAAATATTGCACTGACTTTAGCTGAAGAAACACATTTAAGAAGCTTTTACCAGCAGAAACTGGGCCCAAAGTGTCGGGCACGCGGACCTGAGCTACAGCACACGGACTGTGGAGACTCGTCTTTCTGGTCTGGGTTGTCTGAATACTGTCGACACTGTTTTATATACTATGCTCTATTTAATGGTCCTAACGTCACAGCGTAACAAAACATGTAGCATGTACGCAAGTCCTGTTTTGGGCTACTGCTGAACTAAGCCATGTTTATTCTCTTCTTCCACAGCGTGAACTCTTAGCTTTTAGGTTTTGTCTAAATCTAAATAACTCGCACAACTTAAAGTCAATAAAGATTGACGGTAGGCATGTTAACGCAGAAACTAGAGCATCAGCACTCAAGTTAATGGATTTGTATATAAATATACTGAAAATATTTAGCTAAATAAATATCTAATACATATTCTAACTACTTGTGTGACCTGCTGAGGAAAAGAAAAAAAAGACTTTTAAGCTATGAGAAAAATATATGCAAAACTAGATATGTGACTTGTAGCCTTTAGCATGAACAAATTAGATTTATATGAGGTAGGGAAGTAGATTTGATCTATGGTTGCTGATTATTTAAAGGGTGTGCTGGGTGAAGCTTTACGAGAGTGCATAAAGGATTTATAGGAATAGTTGGACATTTGGGAAATGCGCTTAACGTTCCGTTTAATTGGTTTATACCACTCTTTTCTGTAGCTGGAAGGTTAAAAGCATAACGATTTAAGACGTTTTCTCAAATCTGCCGACCAACACACGTTAAAAGTCACTAATTAAGAAAAGCTAGCATTGCCATTTTAAAGGGGCTCTCATATGCCTTTTGAGTTTCCTTTCCTCTTGTGTATTATACAAGTTTACTTGCATGTAAATGTTCTAAAAGGCTAAACGCCATAAGTTTGAAACACCTCCACTTGACTCCTTTGTTTACTTCTGCACTGTTAAACTCACGCCTCTATTGGCTAGCGCTCAAACACATTGTACGTGATAGGCTAAGGGTCTTTAAGTTGACCAAGCACATCTGGTTTCAGACGGAGGGTGAAAAGAGGTGCTGCAGCACAGGCAGTATGAGAAAAATAAGACCTTTTTCAACATAAGAGCATGTGAATGTGTCACAGTAGAGGCACAAAATACAATTATGAAACCTTGATATGAGTACAATAGGGTAGAATGTTGTTTTGTGGTGCTTAAAATGGATAAATCCATTACTTCAGAAATGTAAAATCAATCTCTTCTCCTCCATTCTTCTTAATGTCAATGCAAGAATTAGGTAGAACTTTTTTAAATTGTTTTTGTATGATTTATCTACGGTGATTTAGAGGCAAAACAGGTATTACGTTATGTTTCCAGTCTTTAATGCTAAGCTAGGCTAATGGCCGCCACACTGGCCTAGATACAGGAGTGCCATATTGATCTCATCCATCTCTGGGACAGAAAGCGCATTTCCCAAAATGGTGAGGTATTCCTTCATAAAGACTGTGCTTCCGTTATAAAAATGTAACCAATGATTTTAGTTGCACTGTAGCGATAGGGGGGTGGTGTGAGGAGAATTCATCGGACCACTCTGAAGGTTCCCGCATCCTCGGACTCGATGTGTGTTTTAAATGTTTAAAAATAACTTTTTTTAAATCTTCTTAGGCATTAAATCTCTGTTAAATTATTACGTTCTGAATGTAGATTGCAATATAGGATGTTATCAATGATAACGTAAGATCTCTATACAACATGTGTGCATACACAGTGCTGTATTTCCACATATCTTTAAGTATATACAAATCGGACGGGCAGTGGTTTTATGAGCAATATCTTAACAGTTTCTTAGAACGTGATCATTGAGTTCCTCTGGAAATCATCTTCATTCATGATGAATGAATGAAGATGATGCATATAGGCGAGTTGATTCGCAGCACCATGCGGGCTGATGAAATCCTCTGAATCCTTTATTCAGAGAGAAATGTTTACCAAAGCACTGTCTGATTATCACTGATTTCCTTACTTTGCTAACATTTGCATCTGTGGCTTGTGCAATTGCTTTCACTCTATCCTTCCTCCAGGTGTTGAACGAGGATGTTCTCATTTATTTGGTCAGTTTTTTCTGTTCATGTTTCCCTCATAGAAGTGCATTTTAGGGTGTTTTCCCCATAAGAAGTGAATGGGGGTGCTGCTGGGTGGACTGTTGGGACCAGCTGTATTGTACTGTATACATATCTGACTTAAGCCTCTCTGTGGCAAAACACACACTACTGCTTCACACACTTTTCTGTGGTTGACCTTCACTGTCCAGCAAGATGAAGTAAAGCATATATCCACACGGACGGTGATCACACTAAAGCATTACGACCAAAACTCAACTCAAGACAGCAGGTCGCCAAATGATTTGGATTATTTGGAGTGTGCCACCGGAATAACTAAACACTAAGTGAATCTGTCAAAAGATCAAAGCATTTAATAACTCTAAAGTGATTTAAAACGTTTACATTTTAAGGATGCGATAGGACTTTGAAACATGGAAAGTATAAAAAAAAGTTATACAAATATAATCTGCCTCAATTAATGGTTCTTTTTATTTTAAAATGAATACATGTACAATTGTTCAACCATTTAACCTGGTTGTATTGATCAAATAAACAATTCCATTTATTTATTTTTAATCAGTCGTTTCACAGTTTAGTTTTTTTCTGTAAATGTCAGGAAAAAAATCCCTTTTGAGAAGTTTTTAATGGATAAATTAGTAGATGAAAACAATTGATTATTACATTTTAGTCAATTTGTTAGATAATTGTGTCAGTATAAACGGAATAAAAAATTAAATGTAGGTAGTTTCCAAATGCATTTATTTAAACCAACATTATTTATTCTTAAAGGACAAACTATTCATTTGCAAAAATAAACGTTTAAATAGTTTTTATCAAATACATTATAATAACAGAGGATTAAGGCTGATGTGATCATTTTGGAGATATGACGAAAAGTGATTTTTTTTTTCTTTTTCTCAATTTTGATTTAAATCTCAAAACAATCACTTTGGGTCGCATTTATATATATATATATATATATATATATATATATATATAAAAAGAGAAACATCTGGCATTAATCGTCTTCCATACATCATCAATCATTTATTTCAACGTAATTATTTCAGTGTCACTTTTTATTATAACTGAGAAGTGTATTATTACATTGGCACATTCCACAGATTCACAGTTGCCGTTTGAATTGGAATGAAGTTGTTGTGTGGACTCATTTTATATCTGTATTCAAGTTATGAAGGTAAAGCACAACCGTGAAGATAGGAAATATACGTTTTGTAACCCAAATGTCAGGTAATGATGCACTGCATTTGGTTCCTTGTCTTTTTTTATTTATCATTTTGTGAATATTTTTGTTTGATTTGAGCAGGAATGTTTTCTAATGAAAATCTTTAACTTTTGGAGGGGAGAAGATCAAAAATGACACAGGAAGTATGCTTTTAATATCGGGGCAATACAAAGTAATGTATAAAAACACATATTGATATCTTGTGAAGCTGTTTACTGTTTGGAGGTAAATAAAGTTTGTTTTTCTGTAAAATGTCGTGCATTTTGTTTCTTATGTTTAAAAAATAACAAGACGAAGAAGTTCCACATTGAAGGAGTTATTTCAGATTTATTCAGAAAACAAATGTTGACAGTTTTTGATTTGACACCTCGTCACAGACATGAGTATCTCTGAGGTCAGTATTAAACACACATCATTATAATCACATCATCACTACAGCACAAACAAACAGTGACGCCTTCTGGAAAAAATGTACTTGACAGTTTACAAAAAGAAAGAATGATCATTTCCAGTTTAAATGTTTTCTGATTTTAAAACCATACAATAACAGAGTTGACATTACTTAAGACAGGATTGAAAGAAAAACCTGAAATCATGACTTCAAGTGAAATAAAACAAAAGCCATGCACAACCTGGCCTTTTTCTTCCTTCCAAATGGAGTTGTGAGTGTGATTTAAGTGCACAGTTGTCCTACTAAAAATAAAACAGCTGACGACATGGACATAACTGTAAAGGTGAGATAGCATAATTTGACATGTTATGGCCATACCCTTTCAATGTTTAAAGTGCTAATACGTATTCAGTGTACGTTGACCTGTTAGCTGGTTTGCTAACAGGTGAACTCCAACATTTACATTCTTGTAAAAATCTGAGAGCAGACAAACATTAAGAAAAAAAATCAACCTTTCCTTGTTTTATACAGACTATTTAAATACTTTAGCTCATGTCTTTTTTTTCTGCAACATGCTTAGCAAATCTTTGCTAGATAAATAGCGGTTAAATTAATAGCTGATAAGGCTACATTTGAACCAAAACAGTTGGACGGACTTTTCACCTTACACCTTTACTTGGCACAGAAACCGAGTAATAGTTATAAATGCTTGCTTTCTCTTTGATTGAAGTCTATAAATGGCTATGTTAGGACTCAAACTAGCTCATATGACTTCAATTCATCCCTGTATACAAAACAGCTATTACCCAGTTTGACCTTTTGCTACATCCGGACGTCAGGATGAAAATCAAAGTGAAAAACCATCTTATGGGTCATGAAACACCTAGCTTTCGAGAGTTTTAAGATGATTTGCGAAACAAAACTAGCATTAGTTTCTTCTTAAATTATTGTTTGATGAAAATAAATGAAATTATAGGCTTTGGCCATCAGTATCATCCTGTCACCACCATACTTTGGCTTTTAATATGTGTCTAATCCCATTTACACAGATTCCTTTTCAACATTAGAAGCAGTTTAAATGTTGAAAAAAGAATATCCTCTTCATGTGATTCTCAATGCAATCGCTAACAGTTACTCTTTCAGAGACCTAGCATTTAGGGAACAATGCCTCACTGCTCTGTGAGTAAGTTTCACTTTCTGTAGCTACTTCCCTTTAAGCTAGCTAGGTTACTAAAGCATTGAATGGCACTCTTGTCTCGTCATCTTCCTCTTCTACAACACTCCCCTGGTCGGGCCTGTCAGGACAGAAAATTAGCCGTAGCATTGCTAGCCCACCGCGCACCAACAGCCTTAGAACAAGAAAAGCAAAGGGCACCGTAATCTCCATCAGGTGGAAAATCGAGGCACTAAATTGACTCAGAATACAAGTAAGGAAAAACGTCCCAAGAGCTACTAAGGGGTACAGAGATAGCTTAGCTAGCATAAACACATGCTCGCGTCCGCCATATCGTACGTAAGGGTGCAGAGTTTCTTGTTCGTTGTAAAGAGCGACCACCCAAATAGCGAGCTGAAATATACCAGCAAAGAAAATGATCACACAGCTGATCTGAATGGCTTCCAGTTCATTGCGAGAGTTGCGTGGGAATTCATGCGTTAGCTGGTAGGCTAAAGGCAATCCTCCGACAAAGGCCAGCGAGAAAGTGTTGAGCATGCTCATGAAGCGCGTTGCCTTGGTTACATGGAGGAAGAGCGAGTGGTGCACAAACCAGAGGAGGCCGACGGTGGCGAAAGAACCAAAGTAGGCGAGGTACTCTGGGCCGTAGTCCTGCAGAGCTGCTATCAGGCTCCCGCCAAACTGTTTCTGCACCACAGTCGGGTCTGGAACATTGTCCTCGCTAAGAAATGCAACCAGAGACAATACATGTTAAGTGTCCAGTGCTATTTTCTCACTCTTTTATTGGTAGGCTATTTGTAATATTACGAAAAAATGTGGGCACTTTCCAAAACATTAGCTAGCCAGAAGTTAGCATCTTATGTAACCATTACCAGTGCATAACTACAGTGAGTGCAACATGTGCATAGGATGTATGCATATATGATTTTCTTTATAGAGCAACATCATGGGATCACCTGATGCATGGCTTTGTGATTTAGCTGTCTATAACAATATAACTTTGTCCTATGTTTACACATTCAAGAAAATGTAATGAAACCCACCATATGTCTAGGATGAGAAGCGTTGCTACGATGGCGTAAACTCCATCGCTGAACGCCTCCACTCGATCCTTGCTGAGGGGCTCCTCAGGCAGGAAGGTGTAAAACAAAATGGAGTCTGGTGTCTCCTCCACCTGCCCTGAAATGCACAAGACAGGAGCCGTAATGAATTGCAGCTACATCTACTCCCAAAGTATATCTGGCTAGAGGTTAGCTCATATTTCCTGTGTTACTCACTATAGCATGTAGTACTTACCAATTGCTTTGCTGCGACACCACTTCAAAGACCTAGAGATGTACGGCAGGAAGATGACAATTGCCAAGAGCACGTAGGACTGAAAAACAAAATCAAAATGTTATAAGAAAGAAAAGATTTACAGCAGCAACAATTTAGTTTAAAGTAGGTCAAATAGTTGCTGTCTCCGAATGAAATGTGTGCTGAAACAGAGAGACAGACAGCCATCCATTCATCCATCAGCTGATACGGAGCATAGAGAGAGCTGCGGGGCTCGGCCTCCGCCTCCTGTCCTCACAACTCTTATTGGTACCGGACAATTGTTATTTGTTCTTACTCTAGCTCTACACCCCTGGCCGAAATCTCCATAAAATTAAGTCTGAGTTTGAAATATCTCAAATAATGTATACACTGTCATTTCCCCAAGTAAACATAACAGTCTGCAATTAAATGGTTGTCTCCCGTGTGCTCCACTTCTTCCTTGGCGCACCGGTAACTTTAAAAAAAAAAGTTTCTCGTGCTCACAAGATACTTTCTCGTGCGCACGAGATACTCGCCCGTTATCCCGACTTTTCCTTTTCTCTCTCTTTTTTTTTTTTTCATGTCCCTTTAGGGGCTCAGTAGAAAGTCATCTAAACATTTGAAAAAAGAAATAGTGCCACCTACGATCTGGAAGAGGATGAAGGAGAAGATGCTGGCGAGGAAGCACATGAGGGGAACCCGCATGATGACTTTGAGGATGTGATGTTTGTAGACGGTTAGGTTCTCTGAGATCTGAATCTGCTCGTTCAACAGGAAGGGGCGGCTGAAGGCGTACACCACAATCACCGACTAGGGAAACAAAGCATGAAGAAATATGGGATTTCAGTAGATCCACTAGAAAAATACAGCAAACATAACGCAACAATCAACTGAATCTGTATATACTGTATATAGGTAGTGTTTTAACTTAAGACATCCATTTTGGAAATTGGTGGACTTAAAAAAGAAAAGAGAAAATAATTATTTCACTATAATAAATGGCTCACCTGTATGACACCCATCACCATCACACAACCACAAAAGAGTAAAATCCCGAGGATGTTCTCAGGGAAGGTGGCCATCAGAGAGAACTGCAAAATATGACATGCCGTAATGTTACTGAGCAATACAGAGCAAAAAGTATTGGTGCAAATAGTGTGATGGATTTAACGACCATTAACCTGTTGAACCCCTTCCCCCCTGAGCGAAAAAATCTTAATGCCATTATTACAGAACTCTAGCTATACCGATCGATATACTTATTGGATCTGCACAAACAAGCTTAGCTAACATCCTGAGATTCCACAGATTATAGAAATATAAGTATCATCACAGAGCGATCAGAACTCGTGACAGGGGAAGCAAATACAGACAACACACGACGTAGCTTTAGGTAGCAAAACACAGAGATATGCTCACCTTAGCTGTTATTCTGATCAAAAGTCATGTTCAATGGCATTAAAACGAGAAAAAACGCGGCTGAAGGTTAATCCATAGGTTAATCCAATGTGTCTGTCACTTTGAAAAAAGTATTGATAATCCATAATTCAATTTTTATGCAAAAATCGGAGAATAAAAATTAGCTGCTAATGGTAGCCACCAGAGGTTAGCGCAGCTTCCGGTTTTTCTACGTGTCACTCTCACTCCTTCTTTGGTAACCTGTGTGTGAATGTGGAACTTTCCCTTGATTCCATTGTCAATCATCAAAATCGACCAAGGGGGGCCAGAGATAGGTCAAATCCACCCAAATGACCCCAGAAGTGGGTTTTTTGTGCTAAATCTCTCTAAAAAGGTCAAATTTCACTTGTTTTGCATCAATCTTGATACAGGGTACTTATTATATGTTGTATTTTGGATTCCTAACGCTTTTAGTCTACTAACCCATCATCCAAGGGTAGTTTTCACTATAAGTAAAAAAGAATTTTTGGACAGACACTATAATTTACAGTTTTTTTACTGTGTTCAATCTGAATTTTCTTTAAAATAAAAAACATCTATATTGATTCTGACTTTTCTACATCCAACTCAAAGGTTTATCATTACTTTGAGAAAAAAGATTATTAATTTTCCCCTTTTAGAAGTGTAGTTATGGTCATTTGTTCTGGAAATGTCATTTTCGAGCCTGAGACCTGGAAAACAGGCTCGGGGGTCAACAGGTTAAGCAGTGTCTCATACTCACTGTGTACGGTAGAAAGGTTATCAGCATCATGCAGGCCTGAAATAAAACCCAAAGGAAATATGAGCAAAAAGTCAAATACTTTTAGGTATAACACTAAAAGATTACTTTTTTGTTGAGAATTCATTATTATGTACTTTATTTGTATAGCAAATTAGTTAATATGCCCAAACCAACTGTAATATCTCTGTTAAATCAGACCTTAAATATTTTTTAAATATGATTTTTACTAATTGGACAAGCGTTCACAACTCCCTCTGGAGGGAACTTTGAGATTTTAGCCTTTGAAGACCATTTACATGTACACAAACCTATATAACACACTACAGGAAATGGAATACCCTAAAAAGCATAATAGGGCCTCTTTAATTAAATATCCAAAAGTATTATGAAGATATACTTCAATGAATCTATCACAAGAGGTTAATTAAAGGTTAGTTAGCATACAGTGACTTTGTACTTACAAGGTTCAGCAGTGCAAGGCAATCATCAATGCGTACAATTACTTGAAACAATCTGTGAAATTCAGCACAAAAATAGGCAAGTGATAAATATAAACCTCAAAACTGCTCCTATACTTAGTACTTCGTCAAATATTACTTCTATAAATGATAATATACTAATAATAATAATAATGTACCTGATATGAGCAGCCCATGCAACAGTCACGATGAGGAATGTCATTAAGTAAACAGCAATCTTTGTTGACAGCAGAAGCTGAACACTCTGCCTCAGCTCCTGTAAGCAGACACATAGATTAATACTTTATCTTTTCAGTACAGTCTCACTGCAGAGATTTGCAGACCCAACTACCACTGAAAACACCTTTTTCTAAGGGGGTCGCTTTTTAGGAATAAAATAATGTACGATTACACGTCTTACCTCGTCATTACCTTGCAGCTTTGTATGTGCAACAGGTAATATCTGTGAATATAAGATGATACATTATGAGAAACATCATATGTTCAGAGAAAGGCACATGTTGAGAAAATGGATTTCCAACTGACCAGTAAGCATGTTCTGTGTATGTTAAGCGCCCTATTATGAATATTATCACGGCTAATTTCAAAACCATAAATGAAAGTATCAAGCACGAACACACTTTAAACTCACTGTAGCTGTGTTTTCAAATTCCCTTTAAGTGGCTGACATAATTAGAAACATTAGTTATATTTGTCTAGTTGATGATATTGTATGATCTTGTAAAAACAAAAGCGAAACCATGTACTTACTGAGATTTAATTAAAGTTAAATTTACTCTGTAGGCTATAGCACTCCATGCTATAATCCCATTATAACTAAAGTAAGCAAGTATCATTCCTACTATGACTCTTAAAATGTCTGACTAACATTAAATACTCATTATATGCCCTACCCAACCTCTCTCCCATCTTCCCCAATTCAAAAGGAAACTCTGGTTTAAAGGGCATTAAGATTATATGCTTGAATACAAGTAGAAATACCACACCATAGATACACTTCCTACTCTACTTAGTTACTTCCCACCTCTGACAGTATGTAATATTATTACTGGACTATTATCCACTGCTCCATCCCCCCCCTGCAGCCCTCAGGTTGGTGGTGTCTGCAGTCGCTCAGCAGCAGCATGTGTTATTGAGATAGAGCTTGGTGTCTTTACCATGACGGTGGCGATGATGGAGATGAGCGCGTCGCTGTAGGCCAGCAGTCTGTGGGAGGACTGGGTGCCGCTGTGGCCCTCTCTGTCGGACGGAGTGACGCTGCCCGGGAAGCTGGAGGAGGCTGTGCGGCTCCTCGTGCCTTTCTTCTCCATCTCCTCCTCGACATGGTGCTCTATTATCTCGCTGTTGTCGTTTTCCCCCATGGTGGAGGAGCTAGAGGGGCGCAGAGGACGAGGCGGGAACCATGGACCAGGCGGACGGACTGTTTGCAAACAACGGAGGAACAGCTGACTGAGGGCGGGAAACCGGAAGCAGGTGCCCGTATGTTTTCCTGTTGGCAACAAAGATCGTTGATGGCGGAGTTGAGTACCCACTTGGTGATCAAAAACGAAATACATTTTTCTCTGTGTGTGTGTGTTTTTTGGTTAATTATGACTCGAGTTTATCTTCGTTTTAGACGATTTTATGGTAGGCTACTCTTGAATCCAGAAATGAAATAATGTAGTTAATGTTGAGAGACCACGTCTACCGCATGATTTTGTAAGTAGTTAGTTAACAAGATACTTTAAACTTGATAAACAAAAATCGTAGGCAAACAATAGCTGATGGTTTCAATTATTACATTTGGGCCTGTTTACCTTTATGCTACACTAGCCTGCTCAAACGTGACTGAAAGTAGAGTAACAAAAAGAGAAACTTAGTGCTAAGTGATACCTTGAACCTGCCACTGGGTGACAGTAGTGTTTTAAATTCTTGCCATGGTCATATTAATGTATTTAGTTAGAACACTGTATGGTCACCAGCAAGTTGCAACTAAACATTCTTCAACACATTTACTTTACAACGGTAGGCCTACATCTGTATTTCATCAGGCGGGCAAATGCCACACCATGTCTGAATTTACCCACTTGACGAGAAGTTGTTTATCATTTTGTACATTGTTCATCTTTGTATTCCGCTATCCTCTTTTAGTAATTGTGCTGTAAGGATACAAATTGGTTATATCGGCTTGAGTAAAAAACAAACAAACACAGAGTATTCAGTGAATTAACTCAAATAAATCCTGAGTGTAAGAGGGATAACAGTAAATCTAATTTGTGTGAATATAAGGAGCTAAACAGAAATAAGAATGAACCCTCCACTTCATTCCTGCTTTAAGTGATTAAATAGCTTTCATTTGCAGTACGCCTACTTAGGCTTACTTTTTAAATTAGTTTTTGTTTCTTTGGGTGGCGTTCCGCTTGTTGACAAAAATAGGAAAAGATCCTGTGTTGGATTCAAATTGACCCTTTCTGCACGGCACGAATTTGAGCACACGTGCAATCTGATTGGCTCTTTGCAAAGTAGCCTCCTGTCTAGATGTATTTCTTCAATAGTAGCATAGAGGTCAACATACATGATGTGCATAAACATGATATAAACACCACTTGGTTTTACTTTGCGTTTAGTTAATTGAACACAGCATATTCAGCTTTATTCAATATGGTGTGGACGGTAATGACACACCCTGATTTACATTGATTAGAGTTTATATTTCAGTGATGCAGTAAATGTTCTTGTAACATGACTTGTCAAAAACACAGTAAACATGTGAGGCACTCTTCTGCCTCTAGAGGGAGACATCATACTGTGTCTGGCAAACATTTCAACCTTCTGTCCTGTAACTATGCCCATGTTACTATTTGAACAACATAAGTATATATAGTCCCCAAACATTACTAATTTGTCTCATTACATCTACCATTACCATTATATTGGCAATAACATTATTATCCCCCTGCACTGGTTAATGTTTTGAGTTTGAGCTATATTGCTACCATTTCATGTATGCTGAAAGATTTTGTATGTCTAGTTGTGTCTGTAGACTCATAAATTCACCAAAGGCTAGCATAAGAGAATGCATCATTCAAATATTTAAACAAACATTTCAGAAAACGTGTAATACAAAAACGGATTTTGATGAGGTTTTTCCTGAGGGTTCATATATCATTCATAGGCCCATTTATAGAACTGTTGGCAGTATCTTTCTTATTCATGAAGCATTGAAGGAGATATCTTCCCTCTCTAAGAACCTTTGACTTTAATAATGTAACAGTCATTTTGAATATGGCTTTATCCAGTGTTAGGATTTCTGTTCAATATATTATTAAATTAACACATATTTTCAATAAGATAGTGCCTAATTCAACTTTCTTTTACGTGGAAAATGTTCCTGTGACACTGGCATGTTTGCAGAGAGGTAAGATGTTAATATATAATCTTATATAATCTTTAATACCCATGGCAGGGTTTTTCCTACTCACTTAATTGTGTTGACCCTCTGCTGCTGGCACTAGTGCCTCTGGCCGAACTTTGGGCTAATGATGTCTCTGCATCCTGGGGTCCTCCTCCCAGAACCCCTTTCATGTAGGCTAGATGAGTGCCCCTTCTCTCCACTGAATCACCAATTAAACTAGGACACCATTTTATAAGGGCAATACGAATTTAGCAGCAAGATGCAGGGGGTTGATTCCTGCTAATGCTTGAGCTAAGCATTGATCAACGATGCTGAGTTAGGGAGTTTTGAGAATCCACTCATACTACCATTAGATACAGAAGCATTAATACATAAACAATAAAAACAAAGTATACAGGGAGGGAATAAAACAAAAACGGACTGCTTAAAGGTGGGGTAGGTCATTTTGGAGAAACCAGCTCGAGTGCGCTAGAATTTGAAAATACACAGCCGGAAGAAATCTGCTACTTCCTTACAGAGCCCCTCCTCCAACACACACGAACGCGCACATGACCAATGAGGGCACGAGATAAGTTTGTGCACAGATGGAAGGCTGACAGGCAGGTAGGCCATCCAGTTATTTTAGCCGGGCCGGCTAAAATGATTGGTCGTGCTTTTTACAGTATTACGGCTTCCACAGATGACATTTTTTTATGGATTTTTTGTCAAAGCACTTAAGATATTCATTGCTATCGGGATGTTAAGAGCATTCCATGGAATATAACAAAAAGTGTTTCTGAAGTGAATTACATACCCCACCTTTAAAGTACCGAAGGTAAAAGTACTCATTATGAAAATTGGTCCATTTCAGAAAAATATATATGATATGTTTTATCATTATTAATGCATTAAAGTGTTATCTAAGCTGGTAAAGGTGCCGCTAGTTTTAATTACTTTGTATACTGCAGGGTAGCTTGTGAATTTACTTCAGGTGAAACTAAAGTATTATTTAAGTGTTGAATATAATTAAAATAATTGAAAAGTATCTAAAGGTATTAAATAAATAAATGAGGTGGAGTAAAAGTATACCATTTACTTAACACCACTGCAGAAGAACACAACATTGGTCGTTACATAACAATCACTACTAAATATTTGGTCAGAAGGAGTTGTGACCATTGTATGAACCCCAGATATGTATGTTTATACAAAAGTGACGCCCCAGTTGGCTTACAATCCACAAGAACAACAGAAATGGCCAGTCCCAAAATATTGCCAGAAAGAGAAAAACGCCCATAAAAGGAAACGAACCAATAGTATCATTGGTTATAACCAAAAACACCAAAAACAACCAATATCTTCTTCAAAACATTAGATATAACCAAACTCTCCCAACACTTCTGACGCTCCCACAAAAAGACAATGAATACAGTAGTAGTTGACCAGAAGGTGACTCAAGCAACCCGCTAAAGACATTGGAGAACCCCAAAGTTTAGGAGAGGACCAAAACAAATGAAAGCTCAAACATTACAGCCCACCGACAGGCCACTCAAGTCCTCTTAATCCTTGGATACAAAATATAAAAAGGACACTGAAATGCACCACACGCATTGACATCACCACATGAAAGGTAGTAGAAGGGGTATCCTGGCCTTCTATCCTTTTCTCAGTTTTTGACATCACATCAAAAGCTATTTCCCTGGAGATACCCCCAGGTGGAAGCCCATCTGTTGAGGCCTGATCTCTGTGATAGCACATCACTCTTCGTTTCATTTCCCCCTCCTCGTCCCATTCTACTGACCCCTTTCCCTCATTTCCTGTCCTCCTCCAGCCATCATCTGAGCGTTCACATCCCATTATTGAGACGTTACAGAGTCTGGGATATTGTAGTTAGACTGTTGACTGTCACCCCCCCCTTCCCACAGCCCAGCCTCCCTTCCCCAGACATGAGCCCTGATACCTTAATCACTTTTGACAGCAGAAGTGGCTGCCATCACATCCCCTGCTGTCTGGGTCTGCAGCTCATCACCTTGACTTAATAAAGTCTGTCAGATGAAACGGGCCTGCTGACAGTGGTCCCTTCCCTCAAATCCCTGTTCTGACCACAGTTTATTACATACTAAAGGTTAAAAACACAGGGTTAGTGTAGGCCATGTCCACCCTGAAGTGGATGCATTTAAAATAGTTGGGATTCGACAAACTCACAGATCAACACTATAGTTTTCAGGGTACTTTCTGAGAAATTGCAGTCCATATTAAAACTGAAAGAATATCCATGGATCATCTGTACTGATGTTCCTGTTTAGAGCTGTAGCCAATCCCAGAATGCATTTGGTGATACACACTAGACAGTTAAATGGATTCATCTTAACAAATGGATTATCGTTCTGTATTATTTGTCAGTTAAATCATACTTTTGAGCCACTACGCCCATGTGTTTTACAAGGCCAATTTGAGCCCACAGGTCCAAACTCAGTTGCTCAATCCACCTGCTCCTTACTCTTGTCGCCTGGTCGCATGGTACCTCAGTAACAGTGAAACACAACTGGCTATGGTTAATAGCTCTAATAAATTGTGTTACAATCTATCAAATTACATGTGGTCATGCTGAATTCCCTGGCAAGTTGGCATGGATTTCCTGGATTCTCATCAACCACCTGACACAGTGATAGAAAATTAGTTTTTGTGTCTTTGCCTTGGACACACAACTTCTCATGGCCATTGAGATGTTATTCTGGTAGCTAAGCAGCACCACTTAAGGCAATGCTTGGAGGTTGGGAAACATTTGTTATACTAGTAAGAAGCTCTGTGGTTTAGTGACAGTATCTCCATGAGTCAAATGACTGCTTTTACATTTTTCCGTCATGATTTAAAAAAATCGAAAAATGAAGGAAAGTATTCATTTAACGCAACCTCTACACCAGACGTGCATTACACATTTGGGAAAATAAGAATGAATGACTGTCATTGTAGCCTTTACAATGGTACAGGTCATGACATACTGTATGTATCTAGAAATGCGGCCACCAAACTTTGGATTGAGGTGGGAAAACCTTTAACAGAGGAACAAGTTCCTTCTATGATGACCTGAGT